TGCGAGTGTGAATCTGCTTGGAAAAAAGTGGAGATGTGGTAGAGGTTCATAAAATCATGAATGGTGTGGAGAAAGTGAATGGGGAAGTGTTATTTACCCCTTCCCATAACACACAAATCAGGGGTCACCCAACAAAATTAATATACAGCAGGTTTAAAACAAACATACAGAAGTACTTCTTCACACAATGCACAGTCAACCTGTGGAACTCCTTGGCAAATGATGTTGCGAAGGCCAAAGCTATAACTGGGTTCTAAAAAGAATTAGATAATTTCATGGAGGATAGGTTCATAAATGGTATTTGCCAACCTCATGCTCTGGGTGTCCCTAAACATCTGACTGCTAGAAGCTGGGGCTGGAGAATGGGCTGGATCATGCAATAAAGTGCCCTGTCCTGTTCACTCTCTCTGAAGCATCTAACACCGGCCACAGTTGGAAGACTGGATACTGGGCTAGCAGGACCATTGGTCTGACCCAGTATGGCCAGTCTTATGTTCTTATTTCACTATAGTAATGATTTTGTATTGGTCGGAAGAGTGTTGGAAGTTCCTAAGCTGCTTTAGACTACGTCTAGTTGTAGCTTTATGCAAAAATAATATAGGTTATTTGTGGCTTCAGGTTTTGTAAATTAAGCACAAAATATCCATTACAAACCACACAAATATAAAGTCTCTAGTAAAATCAGATTGTAAACTCACCAACCTACTCTATATGTATGTTTTATTTGTGGTCTGGTCTGATAGCCTAATATTATGGCTTTGCCTTTCTAAGCACAAGACCCAGCTTTGATATGTTTCCAGTTGTGCTTCTCCTTGTCCTATGCGTCTGAGACTGAGAATGGTTATCTAACCTCTGCCCTATACAGTAGAGGGTGAAAAGTACTATTGCACCATAATTGGACCAGTTCTGGACACTCTTTGTAAAAAGAAGAAAAATTGCCACAAACATTGATAGAAAAAAAAAACTTGGGGTATATCTTTCTTCCTCTGTTTCTCACTGATCACATTAGAGAAGACCCAAGTGCCTGGAAGCATGTTTGCTATCTTTATCTCCAGATTTTCAGAAAATGTGGGGCAAATGCCGGTGGCATAGAGATAGTCAGTGGCCTCAATGATAATAGGGGGATGCATTTTTTTCAGTGAACTTTCCCTATCCTTGCTAAAATGCCTTATAGAATCATAGATATTAGAAATGGAAAAAGGCCTATTAGCCCCCTCTCTGCGAGTTCATGATTGTTCCTCAAGTGTATTTGGCAGGGTTTTGTCCAGTGTCTTTTTGAATTTTCCAAGTATGTGGCTCCCTCTAGTTCCCTTTGGGTATGTCTACACTACGAAATTAGGTCGAATTTATAGAAGTCGGTTTTTTAGAAATCGGTTTTATATATTCGAGTGTGTGTGTCCCCACAGAAAATGCTCTAAGTGCATTAACTCGGCGGAGCGCTTCCACAGTACCGAGGCAAGCGTCGACTTCCGGAGCGTTGCACTGTGGGTAGCTATCCCACAGTTCCCGCAGTCTCCGCTGCCCATTGGAATTCTGGGTTGAGATCCCAATGCCTGATGGGGCTAAAACATTGTCGCGGGTGGTTCTGGGTACATATCGTCAGCCCCCCGTTCCCTCCCTCCCCCCCCCCGTGAAAGCAAGGGCAGACAATCATTTCGCGCCTTTTTTCCTGAGTTACCTGTGCAGACGCCATACCACGGCAAGCATGGAGCCCGCTCAGGTAACCGTCACCCTATGTCTCCTAGGTGCTGGCAGACGCGGTACGGCATTGCTACACAGTAGCAGCAACCCCTTGCCTTGTGGCAGCAGACGGTACAGTACGACTGGTAGCCGTCATCGTCATGTCTGAGGTGCTCCTGGTCGCCTCTGTGAGGTCGATCAGGAGCACCTGGGCAGACATGGGCGCAGGGACTAAATTTGGAGTGACTTGAGCAGGTCATTCTCTTTAGTCCTGCAGTCAGTCCTATTGAACCGTCTTATGGTGAGCGGGCAGGCGATACGGACTGCTAGCAGTCGTACTGTACCATCTTCTGCCGAGCAGCCATGAGATGTGGATGGTATGCAGTCCTTCTGCACCGTCTGCTGCCAGCCAAAGATGTAAAAGATAGATGGAGTGGATCAAAACAAGAAATAGACCGGATTTGTTTTGTACTCATTTGCTTCCCCCCCTCCCCTGTCTAGGGGACTCATTCTTCTAGATCACACTGCAGTCACTTACAGAGAAGGTGCAGCGAGGTAAATCTAGCCATGTATCAATCAGAGGCCAGGCTAACCTTCTTGTTCCAATAAGGACAATAACTTAGGTGCACCATTTCTTATTGGAACCCTCCGTGAAGTCCTGCCTGAAATACTCCTTGATGTAAAGCCACCCCCTTTGTTGATTTTAGCTCCCTGAAGCCAACTCTGTAAGCGCCCCTCCCAGCGTCAGAGCAACGGGAAACAATCGGGCATCTGAGAGTGCTGTCCAGAGCAGTCACAATGGAGCACTCTGATGGGGCTAAAACATTGTCGCGGGTGGTTCTGGGTACATGTCGTCAGGCCCCCGTTCCCTCCCTCCCTCCGTGAAAGCAAAGGCAGACAATCATTTCGCGCCTTTTTTCCTGAGTTACCTGTGCAGACGCCATACCACGGCAAGCATGGAGCCAGCTCAGGTAACCGTCACCCTATGTCTCCTGGGTGCTGGCAGACGCGGTACGGCTTTGCTGCACGGTAGCAGCAACCCATTGCCTTCTGGCAGCAGACGGTGCAATACGATTGGTAGTCGTCCTCGTCGTGTCCGAGGTGCTCCTGGCCACGTCGGCTGGGAGCGCCTGGGCAGACATGGGCGCAGGGACTAAATTTGGAGTGACTTGAGCAGGTCATTCTCTTTAGTCCTGCAGTCAGTCCTATTGAACCGTCTTATGGTGAGCGGGCAGGCGATACGGACTGCTAGCAGTCATACTGTACCATCTTTTGCCAGGCAGGCAAGAGATGAGGATTGCTAGCAGTCGTACTGTACCATCTTCTGCCGAGCAGCCATGAGATGTGCATGCAGTCCTTCTGCACCGTTTGCTGCCAGCCAAAGATGTAAAAGATAGATGGAGTGGGTCAGAACAAGAAATAGACCAGATTTGTTTTGTACTCATTTGCCTCCTCCCCTGTCTAGATCACACTGCAGTCACTCACAGAGAAGGTGCAGCGAGGTAAATCTAGCCATGTATCAATCAGAGGCCAGGCTAACCTCCTTGTTCCAATAACAACGATAACTTAGGTGCACCATTTCTTATTGGAACCCTCCGTGCAGTCCTGCCTGAAATACTCCTTGATGTACAGGCACACCCTTTGTTGATTTTAGCTCCCTGAAGCCAACCCTGTAAGCCGTGTCGTCAGTCGCCCCTCCCTCCATTAGAGCAACGGCAGACAATCGTTCCGCGCCTTTTTTCTGTGCGGATGCCATACCAAGGCAAGCATGGAGGCCGCTCAGCTCACTTTGGCAATTAGGAGCACATTAACCACCACACGCATTATCCAGCAGTATATGCAGCACCAGAACATGGCAACGCGATACCGGGTAAGGAGGCGACGTCAGCGCGGTCCCGTGAGTGATCAGGACATGGACACAGATTTCTCTGAAAGCATGGGCCCTGCCAATGCATGCATCATGGTGCTAATGGGGCAGGTTCATGCTGTGGAACCCCAATTCTGGGCTCGGGAAACAAGCACAGACTGGTGGGACCGCATAGTGTTGCAGGTCTGGGACGATTCCCAGTGGCTGCGAAACTTTCGCATGCGTAAGGGCACTTTCATGGAACTTTGTGACTTGCTTTCCCCTGCCCTGAAGCGCATGAATACCAAGATGAGAGCAGTCCTCACAGTTGAGAAGCGAGTGGCGATAGCCCTGTGGAAGCTTGCAACACCAGACAGCTACCGGTCAGTTGGGAATCAATTTGGAGTGAGCAAATCTACTGTTGGGGCTGCTGTGATGCAAGTAGCCCACGCAATCAAAGATCTGCTGATATCAAGGGTAGTGACCCTGGGAAATGTGCAGGTCATAGTGGATGGCTTTGCTGCAATGGGATTCCCTAACTGTGGTGGGGCTATAGACGGAACCCATATCCCTATCTTGGCACCGGAGCACCAAGCCGCCGAGTACATAAACCGCAAGGGGTACTTTTCGATAGTGCTGCAAGCTCTGGTGGATCACAAGGGACGTTTCACCAACATCAACGTGGGATGGCCGGGAAAGGTGCATGATGCTCGCATCTTCAGGAACTCTGGTCTGTTTCAAAAGCTGCAGGAAGGGACTTTATTCCCAGACCAGAAAATAACGGTTGGGGATGTTGAAATGCCTATATGTATCCTTGGGGACCCAGCCTACCCCTTAATGCCATGGCTCATGAAGCCGTACACAGGCAGCCTGGACAGTAGTCAGGAGCTGTTCAACTACAGGCTGAGCAAGTGCAGAATGGTGGTAGAATGTGCATTTGGACGTTTAAAGGTGCGCTGGTGCAGTTTACTGACTCGCTTAGACCTCAGCGAAACCAATATTCCCACTGTTATTACTGCTTGCTGTGTGCTCCACAATATCTGTGAGAGTAAGGGGGAGACGTTTATGGTGGGGTGGGAGGTTGAGGCAAATCGCCTAGCTGCTGGTTACGCGCAGCCAGACACCAGGGCGGTTAGAAGAGCACAGGAGGGCACAGTACGCATCAGAGAAGCTTTGAAAATCAGTTTCATGACTGGCCAGGCTATGGTGTGAAAGTTCTGTTTGTTTCTCTTTGATGAAACCCCCCGCCTCTTGGTTCACTCTACTTCCCTGTAAGCTAACCACCCTCCCCTCCTCCCTTTAATCATTGCTTGCAGAGGCAATAAAGTCATTGCTGCTTCACAGTCATGCATTCGTTATTCATTCATCACACAAACAGGGAGATGACTACCAAGGTATCCCAGGAGGGGTGGTGGAGGAGGGAAGGAAAATGCCACACAGCACTTTAAGCACAGCACTTTAAAAGTTTACAACTTTAAAATTTATTGAATGACAGCCTTCTTTTTTTTGGGCAATCCTCTGTGGTGGAGTGGCTGGTTGGCCGGAGGCCCCCCCACCGCGTTCTTGGGCGTCTGGGTGTGGAGACTATGGAACTTGGGGAGGAGGGCGGTTGGTTACAGAGGGGCAGCAGTGGCAGTCTGTGCTCCAGCTGCCTTTGCTGCAGCTCAACCATACACTGGAGCATACTGGTTTGGTCCTGCAGCAGCCTCAGCATTGAATCCTGCCTCCTCTCATCACGCTGCCGCCACCTTTGAGCTTCAGCCCTGTCTTCAGCCCGCCACCTCTCCTCCCGGTCATTTTGTGCTTTCCTGCACTCTGACATTATTTGCCTCCACGCATTCGTCTGTGCTCTGTCAGTGTGGGAGGACAGCATGAGCTCGGAGAACATTTCATCGCGAGTGCGTTTTTTTTTCTTTCTAAGCTTCACTAGCCTCTGGGAAGGAGAAGATCCTGTGATCATTGAAACACATGCAGCTGGTGGAGAAAAAAAAAGGGACAGCGGTATTTAAAAAGACACATTTTATAAAACAGTCGCTACACTCTTTCAGGGTAAACCTTGCTGTTAACATTACATACATAGCACATGTGCTTTCGTTACAAGGTCGCATTTTGCCTCCTCCCACCGTGTGACTACCCCCTCAACCTTCTCCCCTCCCTGTGGCTAACAGCGGGGAACATTTCTGTTTAGCCACAGGCAAACAGCCCAGCAGGAATAGGCTCCTCTGAGTGTCTCCTGAAGAAAAGCACTCTATTTCAACCAGGTGACCATGAATTATATCTCACTCTCCTGAGGATAACACAGAGAGATAAAGAACGGATTTTGGTTGAATGCCAGCAAACATACACTGCAATGCTTTGTTCTACAGTGATTCCCGAGTACGTGTTACTGGCCTGGAGTGGTAAAGTGTCCTACCATGAAGGACGAAATAAGGCTGCCCTCCCCAGAAACCTTTTGCAAAGGCTTTAGGACTACATCTAGGAGAACCGCAAATGCCAGGGCAAAGTAATCCTTTCACATGCTTGCTTTTAAACCATGTATAGCATTTTAAAAGGTACACTCACCAGAGGTCCCTTCTCCGCCTGCTGGGTCCAGGAGGCAGCCTTGGGTGGGTTCAGGGGGTGCTGGCTCCAGGTCTAGGGTGAGAAACAGTTCCTGGCTGTCGGGAAAACCGGTTTCTCCGCTTGCTTGCTGTGAGCTATCTACAACCTCCTCCTCATCATCATCTTCTTCGTCCCCAAAACCTACTTCCGTATTGCCTCCATCTCCATTGAAGGAGTCAAACAACACGGCTGGGGTAGTGGTGGCTGAACCCCCTAAAATGGCATGCAGCTCATCATAGAAGCAGCATATTTGGGGCTCTGACCCAGAGCGGCTGTTCGCCTCTCTGGTTTTCTGGTAGGCTTGCCTCAGCTCCTTCAGTTTCACGCGGCACTGCTTCGGGTCCCTGTTATGGCCTCTGTCCTTCATGCCCTGGGAGATTTTCAGAAAGGTTTTGGCATTTCAAAAACTGGAACGGAGTTCTGATAGCACGGATTCCTCTCCCCAAACAGCGATCAGATCCCGTACCTCCCGTTCGGTCCATGCTGGAGCTCTTTTGCGATTCTGGGACTCCATCATGGTCACCTGTGCTGATGAGCTCTGCATGGTCACCTGCAGCTTGCCACGCTGGCCAAACAGGAAATGAGATTCAAAAGTTCGCGGTTCTTTTCCTGTCTACCTGGCCAGTGCATCTGAGTTGAGAGTGCTGTCCAGAGCGGTCAGAATGGAGCACTCTGGTATAGCTCCCGGAGGCCAATACCATCGAATTGTGTCCACAGTACCCCAAATTCGAGCCGGCAACGTCGATCAGGGGTGGAGTAAGGAAATCGATTTTAAGAGCCCTTTAAGTCGAAATAAAGGGCTTCATTGTGTGGATGGGTGCAGGTTTAAATCGATTTAACGCTGCTAAATTCGACCTAAAGTCCTAGTGTAGACCAGGGCTTTGAAAACTAAATTCTACAACTTGAGCTATTTTTTACTTTCAGGAAGTTCTTCCTGCTATTCATTCTTAATGTCCTTTAATTTCATTCCTTTACTCTTAGTTAATTCCCCTGCCTTCATCATGGGGATTTACATGTTTACAATATTTGTAGGGTGTTCATAGCCTTTTCTTAACCACTTCTTAGGCAAGCTATTCATATTTAGCTCGTATTAGCCTGTACTTATGTCAGTTCCACCAACCCCCGATCATATCTGATGCTGTTCTCTGTACTTCCTCCAGTTTGTCTGGTAATGTGGACAGAACTGAACACAATATTTCGCAGCATACAAACAGAGAAGTTAGATAACATAAAATACTCTTGCTGGAAGGTTGCAATGTAACCTTAATAACAATATTTCTTAGAATTCAGAATAACACAAGAACCACAAAACAGAGCGAGACAAAGCTCCCTCTAACAGGCAGGCACTACTCCATCCACCTTACTCTAGGCTGTCTGTGTGCTGATTGACTGTATTGCACACTTCCCTAAAGAGCCCCTGCTAGCCTACAAGCAGGACAAGAAAATCCCTTACAAATTAAATGAATAGTCTACAATTTCAACACACTTTTCAAATACACCATACAGTATTCCCAGGATGGCCACATGATAACGATATAGAGAGTGTACTATTATTTCGCTCACCTTCTCCTCCTAATATTTCTGCAGCCAAAATTGTGTTACCCTTTTTGGCTGCCATCACCCAAGGCAAATTTGTATCTCATTTGCTGTCACCAATTGGCAAGATCTTTCAGCATTACTTGTTTCTACCACTGAATACTTGTTGCAGATTTTCCACAGATGCTAGTTTGTATTTTTCCAAGGTTCACTACATATTAGCATCTACCAATGTTTCGTACCTGTCTATATCCCTATTGTAGTATTTCTCCATTTTTTGCTAATATTAGAAGTAGTTGAGAGATGAACACATTTGTTTACTTATTTCTTGGGGTATTAAAATTAACATGTTGGTTGCTCCTTTCTAAACTTGAGTCTACATCATTCTGGGCCTGTGAACAGAGGACTTGTTGGTCACCACCACTATTTTTTGTTGCTTTCTCCCTGGTTGTCATCCTCTATCTCCTTTTTTATTTTTCTAGCAATTTTACAGGATTTTGAGAGAATGTAAAACATACATTCCACATGACAAACTGTACCTGTGTTTAGTTTTGACCATGCAAATAATGAACCAGCAATTTATAGAAGCTGTCGACTTCATTCCATGGTAACGTTACTGGAGATTCTACAGCATAGCAGCCTGGTGCTCAGCAAGAAGTGTCTCAGAACAGTAGATCTCAGCACAATAAGGGTTACTGATGTGAACAATGCACAGTGAAATGATGTACTCTTTTTTTTACATGACTACTGTTCAGACTCTAAAGCGAACAACACACTATAATAAACCTTTCACATTAAGGACTATTAGATAAAAGCAAGGGCATTATTTTTGGCTTTGAACCTTATTATTTCCTGTCGTCTTATTAAGCTCTCAGCAAAGAATTTGCACACACACATGCATTTCTATTGGCAAGCAATGAAAAAGTTGCCATTTATTTGAAAAGGGATAAAGATTGTTGCATTCTTTGCCAAGAAGAAAAACAGTGTATCATCCGCATCACAAGTTGGCTTCGGTGTCTTAAATCAACTGGCTTTTGAAAAACCTGTACAGGCTTCTTCATTAGGCTTCTGGTACTAACTCTGCTGCTTCTTTACAGTTTGTGAGACTGGGCAAGGCTGGAGATTGATAACGGGATATAAAGTCTTTCTCCTGTGGCATTGGTTTGAATCAGGGTTAACATGAGTGTGGCCATATCTCATTACCAAGTGGAAATGGCACTGAGACCTATATAAAATTAGTTGCTCCCCAAAGGGTTAGTGGGTGCAGTGCACTAGCTGGGGTAAACATTGAGTGACTGACACAATTTGAGGCACAATGAGAATCATGCTTTGATCGCTATTTCTATTAAAAAAAAAAAAAGTTGGTAGAATGTCAACCTTAAGAAATCCTGGGTTTTTTTTAGGGGGTTGTATAGGGAGAACCCCTTCCTCAAATGACTCCAAATTTGGATCACTACCCTTACCCTGCAGTCCCATGATGCATACCAAATTTAAATATATTATGAGTAAGCATGGAGATTTTAGAGCACTTAAAAGAATCAACCTTTAAACAGAGAGGAATTTTAAACCTTAATTTATGCAAAGCTATAATACTGTAAAAAGTATTAATATACCTCACTTTGCAGATTGACAGGTATATTAAAATGTGTGTTAGTGCAGTATAGTGAATGTTATCGATAGAAGAGATTCCTTATCAATAGCAATTTATCAATGGTCAAGGTATCTATGATTTCTCAAGACTTCAGCCTCATTCCTTTTACTCATGAAAGCAAGTATTAAATAAAAGCATACTGTAGAATTGTGAGAATAAAATAAATTATCATGCCACTTAAAAAATTACAGGGAAAATAGCTAATATGTATGTGTAGAAGTTATTGTCTTGGCTAATACTTTGAGGTTGTTTTTTGTTTAAAGTATATCTTGTTAACACTGTTGCTTCTGCCAAAAGTGTCATATGATCTTTAATCACCAGCGCTCATTAGGATCTCTTATTTCCATTTCATGGGAGGGACAGAAATTCCAGCAATGTATCTGCCTGACCCCTCCAAAGACTCCTGAACCCTTCTCATCTCCCAGAGCCCTTCTTCTCTCCCAAAACATCTGGGCCTCACTTTCCAGACTGGTGATCCAGTTGATAGAGTCCTTCAGGTACACCCCCAGCCAGCCCCACCCCACTCAAACTCAAGAATCCTTACTAAGGGCTGATCTATGCATGGTTTTTGTACCAATGAAATGTTTTCAGTTAGGGGCATGATTTTTTATGTTTTAGCTGTAAGCATGGTTCGAATGATTCGCCCCTGACATCTAGTGATGAGCTAGGGAAAAGATTTCAGGAGCTGACTGTATTTGCATAAACACACCTACTCTGCCTAGGTGTGCAGCAGAGTAGGTGTGTTTATGCAAATACAGTCAGCTCCATGATCAATGATCAATTTTGGCTGGTGTTGGGTTACAAATCACTCCAGTATTTTAATGCAGGGTAGTGAAATGTTGTTATCCTAAGTGGATCAGTAAAGGGCAGCAGAACTGCGCTTAACCTGCCTTGATTGCGGAGAGTCACCCTAAACTGAACCTCACAGGGTTACAGCAGTGCAATAGTACTGTAGTGAAGATGCTCCTATGCTGACTGGAGAACTTCTCCCCTTGACATAGTTAATCCACCTCCATGAGAAGCGGAAGCTATGTCAGTGACATAGTATGGTCTACATGGGGGGTTAGGTTGGTGTAACTATATTACGCAGGGGGGTGGATTTTTCACACCTCTGAGTGATGTAGTTATATCCACATAGACCTGTAGAGTAGCCCTGGCCTAAGCCCTAGAGATCATTTGATCATCTCCCTTCCCACTGTTTAAAGACCAAGCTGATTAGACTTAATTGTGAGTCTTTGTTTTAGGAAGAGATCACTAGAACTGAAACCCCTGATAACCAGCGGTGGCGCCTTAGACCTGGGGTGGGACGGTCTTGCAGCGAGAGCCCAGCCTGCCGTAGCAGTGAGGTTCCCCACGGCCCACTGAGAGCTGGGGTAAGTGGTGACACCTCAGAACGTGGTATTGCAGAGCGTAGCAGGTGGCAGCGGAGACGCAGCAGCAGCGCCAGAGTGAAGGGAGGCAGCGGCAGAGAGCAGGGCCAGAGCCAATGGTGGCAGCAGGTGGCAGAGTTAGCGACTGCTGCAGCGGGTGGTGACGGCAGAGTGAACAGCGGCCGCTGTGAGTCAGTTGCAGAGGTGTCAGCTGCTGCTGAGGCATTGCTCAATGTTTCCCTCCCCCACTCTGAGGGTGGGAGGGGGACCGATATGAACGCACCTCTGCACTCTGGGTCTTTGATGACTAAGCACAAAAACCGTGAGTGGGGTGCAGTGGAGGGAGAGGGGACAGATGCACTAAAGGGATGCAATAGGGGAAACTGAGGCAAAGGACACTGCCCACCGTATCATGGGGTTGGTTTATGATAACGTGGTTTTGAATGTTAGTTAGTTTCCCAAACTAATGCGTGGTTCCCTTTCACTTTTAATAAAAGGGTTTTTTGTTGTTGTTTTGTTTTTTTGTTATGCAGACTCGGTGCTTGTGAGTGAGGAAGTGTTGCCTCTTAGAGGTACCCAGGGGTGATGGTAAGTTTTCCCAGGCTACTGGATGAGGGTTCAAGCCAGTTCTGTGTTGCAGTGTTAAGAGGAACCCCTAGATACTGAATCTAGCCCTTGTTGCTGCCGACTTCAGCTGGTAGAAGGGTTACATAACTGATATAGCTATTCCAGTATCACAGCTAGTGTGGATGCAGTTATATCACTATAAAGGGGTCTTATATGTACAGTTTATTGCTCTTTTGCAAACTCTTTTTGAGTTCAGAACTCTTCATCTCCACAGCTGCAAGATTTTGTGGTTAAAAGTTTGAAATTTGGCCTTGAAATATCCCTCCTGAAGGAGAAGTACATAATGGGAGTGTTCCAGGGAAAATAGTCAAACTAGCAGAGCAGATGAACTGTATTTGTGTGTATGTGTGCTGCTGTAGCACTTTAGGGCTTGTCTCCACTTGCTGAGGGATCAATGCATGGTGATCGATCCACCAGGAGTCAATTTAGCAGGTCTAGTGAAGACCAGCTAAATCAACTGCCAGTTGCTCTCCTGTCAACTCTGGTACTCCAATGGAACAAGAAGCATAAGACAAGTCATTCTCCCCTCGACCCAGTGCAGTGTAGACACCGCAATAAGTCAACCCAAGGTACGTTAACTCCGGGCAGGTCTACACTACAGGGCTGAGTCGACCTAAGTTCTGCAACTCCAGCTCCAGGGCCCTGCTTGTTAGAGATCTGGTCTCTGTGGAGTGAATTCCTGTGAGCTACCATGAAAA